TCCCCCCTCAGCCTTCTCTTGTGGAGGCTGAACAGGTTCAGGTCCTGCAGTCTCTCCTCATAGGGCCTGCCCTGCAGTCCCCTGATCGTGCAAGTGGCCCTCCTCTGGACCCTCTCCATGCTGTCCACATCCCTCCTGAAGTGCGGTGCCCAGAACTGGACGCAGTACTCCAACTGCGGCCTGACCAGTGCCACATAGAGGGGGAGGATCACCTCTCTGGACCTGCTCGAGATGCATCTGTAGATGCATGACAAGGTACGGTTGGCCTTCCTAACTGCCTCCCCACACTGCCAACCCATGTTTATCTTGGAGTCAATGATGACTCCAAAATCCTTTTCTGCCTCCGTGCTGACAAGAGGGGAGTTCCCTAACCTGTAGGTATGGTGCCGGTTGTTCCTTTAACACAAGGAGCATGATTGCCTACAGAAAAAGAAACAATACAGTCAGTTTCAAAAAATCAAATTGAATTCATGAGTTGTTCACAGACAGATTCTCCAGATCACCTCACATATCCATAATAAATATGAAAGGGTTATTGCTCATATCACTAGAACCCATCTGTGCAGTTCTTGGTGCCCCCATAGTGCTCAGTTTCTGACATTGCTTAGTATTCATGTAAGTTTCTTCTGAACACTACAAAAAGATCCAGGGATTTATCCCAATAAAACAGTAGGTCTTTAGGTAGATTGAAATATATATATAATGAAAACACATTTTCTAACATTCTGATGTTACAGTGGGTATAGAGACTATAATTATCTTGTTCACTGCCATTACTAAATGTTTTAGCTGAAAAGGAAACACATACATTGTTGAATAATTCTGAATTCAGAATAAATCTGGTTCTTCACACATTTAAGTTTGTCAGTATTTGAACTAGACTAGCTAATGTCCATGTACCACATGCTGCTTCAGCAATTTTGTATGCTCAATGACAGAACTATTCTGAGGTATGCTCATGGTACTGACACTGAATAAAAAGAAAATTCAGAATTTTGTTTAGAAATAGTTTCTAGCAGTTGACCACTTTTTCATACATCTGTAGACTATGTTTGCAATGAGAGCTGGTGAAGCTGAAAGGAGGACCAGGCAACTGGAAGATTAGTGCTATGAACTTGAATCTGTTAAAACTAATTTCTGCTGGCAGACTACGTACAGTTGGAAGCAGATGACCTGGAACAACTACTTCTAGCAAAATTATGTATGTATAGTTGGATTACCAGAAAAGAATATGCTGCCTCTGATGGGCCCAGTTGAATCTCCCTCCCTTACTGTTTGTGTGGGTTCATCATTCCTCAGGTCAATTAACATTGCCCTGCCAGGAACCTTTCAACATCTGATTATGTTTGTGCTTCCTGACTACAAGAATTTAACAATATCCTTGATTTAGCTACTTGGAGATAGGGGGGAGCTATCCTTAAACTTTAAGTTGCTCAGAGACATAATATTCAGTTGATCAGAGACATTATTGAGAGAGCCAAAGGACAGTAAAGAAGTGTAATGCTGAAGCAGTAGATGTTGCCTGCCCATGATGCATATCCATGACTACAGTGAAACTGTATCTTAAACTACATAAGTAAGTGATTTTCTACTGACCCATCATGAGATTCAAACTCACTGGGTCACATTGTAAATGTCAGGCTGCAAAGAATTATAATTTCATTCAGTCATTTTTCAATGACTTTTTTTTTTGAGGGGGACAAAATATATTAACAAGTTTTCACTTTTAGTTCTAATGCTGCAATAGGCCAGCATTACATAATGGTCTGTTTCATTCTGACAGTCCCCATATCTCTATTAATAACATGCCTTTTATGGATTAATACTTCATGTTTGTTCTCTAAAGTATCATCACTGATTATCAGCACTTCATTTCAGACTTGAATTCATCATTATTCAAGTAAATGCATATAATTTACTTGACTTCAGCAGAGGTTGGGTCAGTATCCTTTAGGTGATATTAGGAGTGGGATATTTGAAATGAAACAAGAAATCTCTCAGAACCAGTTCTTTTACCTTGGTTTTCACTCTAAACCATGCAATGTTGAACAAGCCTCCATCTAGTCTGCTTTGAAGAGGAATGCCATCAGTGCTGTCTTTGATTCAATGATCGGTAAGGCCCCTTCCAGCCCCTAACAACGTTGAAACTAGAAAACTATGTACAAGGTATGTCCTTGGCATTACCAGTCTTATTTAAGCTGGTATAAAGATTTCTGCATGTGGAAGTGCTCAACTTTTTGGTAGTGAATGTTGGCTTCTTTCCTTTCACAGGTTATGTTTAGCATAATTGAGTGTTTCCTTTTCAAATTAATGTTTATTAAAGTATGTCATGGAAATTATAGGCACTAGTTTGCCTAGCTGAAAGGAAAAAATTATCCCTATTCCCACCCACTGGGTAAATAGATTTGTTCCTATTTAATTAATCTTCTTACAATTATTTTAATTTTGGGAATAATATAAGCTAGGCCTTCATGATTATCCATTCTGTTATTTTTAAAACTTCTATAATTCTACTAGAGCAAAGAAGTGAAGCATCACATCTCTTTACTTTTAAAATCAGTGCCAGGACATATCAATATCAATAATATATAGCATGTACTTCTGAGCAGGCCAAATCCCTTGTTTCCTCTCAGAGACCCCACACAAGAATTAATGCCCCAAACCTCCCCATTTTTTTCTTGAGCTTTTCCTTTGTTCCTACCTAAACAACCAAATTAGCCAACCCTGAGCTCAAGCATTCTATTGGCATTGAGAAACCGCATAGAGCAGTTGGTCAGTAATCATGAATCCACTAACAAGAGTGTGTGCCTTACAAATTTCATTTATAGCTGACATAGAAAATGGTACCAGTGGCCACCAGTTTCAGAATAACCTAGCAGTAAAAGCAATTACCCAGGAACCAGGAGGCTTGGGATCCAGGCTCATTTCAGCCTACGGGGTGGGAGATGTTCAAATCAATATCTCCTGTTTCCGAGGAGAATTCCTTAACCATCAAGTCTTGGCTTGGTAAGGTGGCAGCATTCCCCCACTCTATTCAAATTGCATAAAACTTCAGAAATAAGTGAAAGATTGTTGGGGTCAGAAAACAGAATTCAAGGACTCCTAACCATGTTGTCTATTTAGAGTGGTTTGCCATTTTAGATTCCGATCTGTATTGGCATCATTTTGCAATAAATATTCATTGGAGAAAAAATGAAAATAATCCTGGTAGCATGGATCATAGGTCACAACTATGGCTGATATAGGGTACATAGAAGCATTACATTTAAATTGACCTAACTGTTGCCCTGTGGGGTCAGGCCAACTCTCAGGATCTCAATATTACGCTGTTAGACAGGAGGGTATGACACAACTGCATATATACAAACACACAAATCAATTAGGTGCATACACACACACACTACCAGCTCAGGCACATACACATCCAAACTAGCTTAGGCATATGCATACCTGTCACCAATTCAAGCACATACACTATAC